TATGCGCTCCTACCTTTGAAGATTTTGATCATCTTCCTCTGCCTAATCTCCTAGAGGAAGGTGCTCAGTCAGGGTCTATGGACGAGGTCCAGCTATAAGACCGGTTAAGCGCTAAGAAGTATACCCAGGTACAACACATGCTAGTGGTAAATGGGGCGACTTTCTCCAAGTACCTGGCAACACTACGCTGGCAACTCAGGATAGAAACCCCCAAACAGCTTCCCCTTCGCCAACCCCCTTACAGAATTCTCAAGTATGTGGCAAGAGATCCAGGAGATGCTCTGCCTAGGTGCTATAGTGGCATCCAACAGTCCTTAACAGTCCTTGGGCCTCCCCTGTAGTGCTACTGCCAAAGCGGGAAGGGATGACCTGATTTTGCATAGACTACTACTAGATAGAATGCGAGAGGCAGGATTGACCTTGAAGTCCAGCAAAAGACCGATTGGGGGGGCGTGGCCTGGAGGTTAAGGAAGATGACTGCTTAATCCATGTGCTCCCTGCTGGCTCTGCTAGAATCCACGTCTGAAACAATCATTGGGAGTTGAGATGGGTAAAACTCACCGGGCTATGACTGCCCAAAGGGCACAGGACACCCTGCTCGTTCCAATAGTATGTGATCTCCCAGGCGGACCTAATGTCACAGGCCTCCAACGACATGAGAACCTCCATTCTTTCCTGTCCCCCGTCCCCATCGAGGGATGGCAAACGCGCGGCACAACATCCTGCTGCTTTACCCCTTCAAGGTACAGGGGACACACACCCGGATTGAGTCACGTTGCTGAAAAACAAACCCACGAAAGCTGACCTCAGGGAAGCTAAGACACACCTACGCAAGTCTATCATGGCGGAGCTGCATGCACTCCATGAGGATATACAAGGCCTCAACCAAAGAGTCTCCCAAGCGGAGCCGGACTTTGACCATTTTTCTAGTGAACAAGCTGCCAACACTGAGGCCCTGCAGCTACAGAGGGCCCAAATGCGCCAAATGGCCCACCATGTTGAGGATCTTTACAACAGGGGCAGGCGACAGAACATACGGGTCAGAGGCCTACCAGAGAGGAGACACTGATGGCAGTCTTCAATGGACTACTCGGTAGGCCACCTGATAGCCCTATGGAATTTGTTCGGGCCCACAGAGCGCTCTGGCCCAGGGGCCCTCCTGAAGGCCCACCAAGAGATGCCATATGTTGCATAGCCAACTTCCAATTGAAGGAGGACATTTTGTGAAAGGCCAGGGAAACCCAGCGGGTTACACATTAGGGGACTGACATTCAATTGTTCCTGGACTTGTCTCCTGCCACCTTGGCCTACAGGCAAGCTTTACGCCCTGTAACCAGGGTTTTACAATCTAATAAAATCCGCTACTGCTGGCAATTCCATACAGGACTGATGGGCTCCTTTTTGGTGAAGGATGCCGGGGACATGGCGACTCTCCTGGATGAATTACAACTCCCTGTAGTCTCCCTTTCATGGCCAAATCCTCTGACATTTTACTTACCTGCTCCGTATGCCACCACAATGGCTCCAAAACCGCCTCAGATACAACAGACGCAAAGTCAGGCTGCCCGACCCACGGGTGCCTCTTAAAGGACTCCCTTCTATACATGGACGGCACCACCCAGGGAAGTCTCTTCACTTCCTGCCTGCAGGAATCCAGGGACCTGCAGCTGACCCGCCAGATTACAACCCACTCGTTGCTGAGACTCTTGGAGAAGAAACCTGGCCTAGTTCCTAATGCTGTATGTGATGGACCCTGTGAGAACACTTCTGCATTGGGTGGGTGACCCCTTGTTGTGACCCCTTTCCCTCCCCTGCGGGTTATTTCATTCCGGGCCTACCCAGGTTACCACTAAACCCCCCGTCCTGTTGCTCACTCAACACTGGAGATGGGGGGGGGATCCCCTGTTGCCTCCCTGTACTTAAGCCGACCCCTAGGGACACTAAGAAGGTATATCTGCATTCCTAACTCGAAAGGGGGATTACCTCTTCTCTTCCTCTGTCTGCACTACACTCTTTAGGGGGCTTATCCAGTTTTTATGCCTGTTTCTATATACCCCCTGGGTGCACAATGCTTATTTCAGGTGGTGCAGGAGTGGTGACCAATGGCCCCTTCTAAGGCAAGGAGTGAGGCAAGGGTTGGGTCACATAGATTGCAGCCAAGTACTAGGGGGGCCTCCCTAGCCACACTCCCCACACGTTTAGGGCCCTACTTTTAATCTGGGATTAGTTGGTGGGAGGGGGAACTTGACCCCTAATTTGACCCTGAACCCGAACCCCATTGAAGTCAATGGGGACCCAAACTTTTGGGCACAAAAATGCCTCTAAAAAAAAGTCCTGGAAAGGGCTACAGGGCTGCAAAAGGAAGTAAAATGGGGGTAAGAGTAGGACAAGAGCCCTGCAAACAAATGTGGATAGGGAAATCACTTAAAATAACATAAAAATGAAAAATACAGCCATAAAATAGCACTAGATGGAATCCTTGATTTTAGCTTTGGAAGAACATAAATCAAAATCTAAAGCATGGCTGTCAGGAGGATCACCAGAATTATCAATCTGAGAGAGGCTTGGAGTGCAGGGTATTCTCTTTCATTGTTCAAACTGAGCTCAGTTTCTGATGCATGGAGAAAAGGCCTTCACAAGCCTCTGCTATTGTGTACATAGTTTATACTAAGTGACCCATAGGTTGAGGAGGCGCTGACCGTGGTGGTGTAGGTGGAAGCGGCGGTGGAGAAGGAGGAGGTAGCCAACACTGTTTTTTATTTAGAACGGTTCTGGTGTACCTAATGTACCACACAGGAGAGAGGGAGACAGACTAGCACTAAGCTGCTCGAAAACTGGTAATGATAGGAATTCACTAAAAACCTATATAGAACAAGGGAAAAGAACTCTCTAGAAGAGTGGGAATACCAGGAGCTGGCTAGGTGACTAATGGCTAAAATACTACTACATAGAGAATAAAAATATAAAAATATATATATGGTACTATGCCTTTAAATCTGGAATGGACAAAGTATCCCTATAAATGTGCAAAAATGTGAATAAAGGTGCTATGAGTGGAGATCTCAAATAAATGGGATATCCCTTTAAATATGCAAAAATACAAAGAGAATACTGCTATACCTTTAAATGTCCTTTAAGAGTGTGCAAACATGCAAAGCAGTGCTATATAGGGGGGGGTGATAAATAAAAAAATAAAAATAAAAAAAAATAAATAAATAAAAAAAAAAAAATATATATATATATATATATATATATATATATATATATATATATATATATATATATATATATATATATATATATATATAAAAATAAATAAATACAAAAATGCAAAAAGGGGAAAGATGAGAGACCAAATTCTCTGCTGGATGACCAAAAAATATGTATGAAACTGGTGTCTATATCCCAAACAACATGAGGGATAAATGATACCTGTTGCAAATAATATACTTAGTAAAAGATAGAAGTAAAAAATAATAAGCTATACAGTACAAGGAACTGTTAGCTTTAGGCAATAAAAATGAAAACAAAAAATGTCTAGCATGTAGAAATAATCCATCATTAGAAGACACAACCACTGGATTTAAATCCCTCACTACTCAAGAGGAATATGATATCAAGACCAACATGGACTGTACCACATCAGGAGTCATCTATTTAATAACATGTCCATGCCCACAACAATATATTGGACGTACAAAAAGACCCCTCAAAATACGTATTGCTGAACACATTAGAAATATTAAGAAGGGACTTCCAACGCATAATCTTTCCAAGCACTTTAAAGAGATACATGGGGGAGACCCCACAGGACTTGCATTTATGCCTATTGAGAAAGTGAATACCCACTGGAGAGGAGGTAGCATTGATAAGGCTCTAGATCAGACAGAAGCGAAGTGGATTTTTAAGTTAGGGACTTTGGTCCCTAAGGGACTCAATGTAGATTTTGAGCTTAATGCTTTCCTATAATATATCTTTATTATTTTTTTTTTATTTTTTTTTTCATTTATTATTTTTTTTCCCTTTTTTTTTTTTCTTCCACCTTTATTTATAGTTACAGACTACCACCAGGGATTATTCATTTATTTATTTATTATCTATTTTGTATATATTAACTATTATTTTTTCTCCTGTTTTCTCCTAGAAGGATGGATTGACACTATACCTATATGGTACCTATCTAGTATTGGTTATCCATATGTAGTCAATATACTATTATGATTTTATCCACCTATCTTCATGTATATATACCAATTTATGTCCAGCATTTCATTATCTCTAATTGATTCATTATATATGTTCCTTCCATTTGGAACATTCATATATTGCTTTTATGTATTTTTACATTTACCGGTCTTATGTATTTGTCTACATTTTATGAGACTTTATAAATATTGTTTTTACCCTAGTGGCAATGATTTGCATTTTATGTATATGTATGTATCATTTTATGCAGGTACAAATACTGTTTTTATTAGTATAGAATATATTGGTTTTAACACCTAAATGTATGATTGATAATTAGGCAATGTATATAAAGAAGAACTGAAGCACTAGACACTATTATGTCTCTGATGAAGTAGGGCCCATTCCCGACGAAACGCGTAAGACAGGCATTCCAGCAACACACGGGATCAGACGCATGTACCAGCAGCACCACTAATCTCCACACGCAGGACCTGTTTGGAAAATACCGCCACCGGAGGCATCTGTCCTGCACGTCCCCTGAAGTGAGGCTCCTGCTCGGGACGTGCTCACAGACACAAGCCATCCTCACCGGCAGCTGTATATTGAATCATCACAATCCATATCCATCCTTAACAATCCCAAGGTCCTTGCTGTTATTTCTCAATGCATCAGTCTGGTAATGCATTTCTGAATCTAGTGTGACCTGTATTTTTATATTTAACTTTTTCCAAAGTTATTTTAATATATTCAATAAACTGGCATTTTTTCTTATATGAAGTGATCCAGTTTTATGCCCCAGTTTTCCAGCGATATATTGTTTTCATTTTTATTGCCTAAAGCTAACATTTCCTTGTACTGTATAGCTTATTATTTTTTACTTCTATCTTTTACTAAGTATATTATTTACAACAGGTATCATTTATCCCTCATGTTGTTTGGGATATAGACACCAGTTTCATACATATTTTTTGGTCATCCAGCAGAGAATTTGGTCTCTCATCTTTCCCCTTTTTGCATTTTTATATTTATTTATTTATTTATTTATTTATTTATATATATATATATATATATATATATATTATATATAAAAAATTTATTTTATTTTTTTTTATCACCCCCCCTATATAGCACTGCTTTGCATGTTTGCACACTCTTAAAGGACATTTAAAGGTATAGCAGTATTCTCTTTGTAATTTTGCATATTTAAAGGGATATCCCATTTATTTGAGATCTCCACTCATAGCACCTTTATTCACATTTTTGCACATTTATAGGGATACTTTGTCCATTCCAGATTTAAAGGCATAGTACCATATATATATTTTTATATTTTTATTCTCTATGTAGTAGTATTTTAGCCATTAGTCACCTAGCCAGCTCCTGGTATTCCCACTCTTCTAGAGAGTTATTTTCCACTGTTTTTTATTTGTTTGTTTTTTGGGGTAGCCCCCCAAATATTGGGACATATAAAAAATAAAAACATTTGTGGCCTGCGGTGCATTTCTTGCAGTCCTGATGTATGGAGAAATGCTCAACTCCTGATGCATGGAGAAAAGGCCTTCACAAGCCTCTGCTATTGTGTACATAGTTTATACTAAGTGACCCATAGGTTGAGGAGGCGGTGACCGTGGCGTTGTAGGTGGAAGCAGCGGTGGAGGAGGAGGAGGTAGCCAACACTGTTTGTTTTTATATATATATATATATATATATATATATATATATATATATATATATATATATATAATATTATTATTTTTTTATTATTATTTTTTTTTTGTGGTAGCCCCCAAAATATTGGGACATGTAAAAAAAGAAAACTCCACTATCGCCTGCTGCTGCTCGCACAGTCTCATGAAGTTACGCTGCAGTGCAGACAGGCGAGCAGCAGCAAGGTGAGAACGCCGAAAGCGCGTACAGGCGCTACAGTGAATGTCACATCCTGTTCCAAGTTGTGAATCAGTCTGGTGATTGCTTCTGGTATCCAGTACTATTTTTACTGAAGCTGCATCAGGGTCCTGGTATGTGGCCGCACAAACACTGGTGCTCAACACCAGGGGGTGTGCGGTTACCCTGCACCAGACCCTGCCAATCCATTCCACACTGTGACTCCTAACTTCAACATCAGGCATATTGGGTCCCGGTCATCTGACCGCCGCCGCGAAACTGCGAATGGCTCGTTAAATCTGTTATGGTTCCTTTTATTGCTCCATCTGTTACTTGGATAACTGTGGGAATTCTAAAGATAATACATGCCGACGAGCGCTAGGGGAGGCCGCTCTGCTTTTGCACCCTGCTCCCTCTTATGCTGTGCTGGTGCCTCTGTGCGACCAGCGCCTCTTCCTCCAAACTGCACACGTCACTCGCATGACCTTGATTCCACGTGGGGTCTAGGACCTCATCATCCTCCACATCATCTTCCACCCACTCCTCAACCTTGCCCTCCTTGCCGGTCTGCACACTGCAGAAAGCCACATCAGTTGGCACCTGTGTTTTTCCAGCATGTAAAGTCTGCAAAGGACATATGGAAATTGTTTTAGAATTGTATCCAGGCAACAGTTTTCCCTATAAACTGACCTCTAAGTTTGACTTGTGAGGGTATTGCCCCCGAATTATAATATTGTTATATTGGTATTTGACGGTTCTATTTGACTGTCAGATATGAAGTGCACACCCCAAATTTACTTTTTTATCACCGAAAACAATTAGAATTTTTCAAAGTGCGCTGAAAGCACAGTGTTTGATGGTTCTATTTGACTCTCAGATATGAAGTGCACCGCAGGCCGCAAATGTACTATTTAGCAGCCAAAAAATGTGAATGTTTAAAAATGCTGTGTCACAGCACTATTTGACGGTTCCATTTGACTCTCAGATATGAAGAGCACGCCCCAAATTTACTATTTAGCAGTCTAGCACCAAAACAATTAGAATTTTTACAAGTGCGCTTCTATTTGACGCTTCTATTTGACTC